CTCTGATGTAGACTCGTACTTTACACTGGCCCCAACGCTTTCTGCGAGTCAGCAAGTATGGGATAAGCAGGGTGAGACCTTCAGGGGAAAAACAGCACTTGGTTAGTTTCAAAATAAATTGAAGGACTCACAGCTCCAGTTTTACTAACTCTACTTACTAAGCTTCAGTTTTAATCATTTTTGGTAAGCTACAAAAAGTCTTTATTTTTTTAAGTTGAGTTTGAAAAGTTTACCCACTTGTTGTCCATGCATTAGCACAAGATTCAGCACTATTAGCACACAGAAATCTATTCTCTATACAGCAGGATGAATTTTTAATTGGTGACATTGCCTCGTTCTTCTGTCCAGCATTCCAGACAGGCAACCCATCTGTTGAGGAACATGAGAACCCAGAGCTGCTTCCTTTTTACACCAGTTGAAAGAGTAGATTTTTCTGAACAAATGTATTATTATTACACAGGATTTATATAGCGCCAACAGTTTGCTCAGCGCTTTACAATATGAGGATAGACGATACAGCAACAATACAGTTCAATACAAGAGGGATTTGAGGGCCCTGCTCCTTGGAGCTTACAATCTAGAAGGGAGGGGCTAGTGGTACAAAAGGTAGTAATTGTGGGGGATGGACTGGTAGGAAGAGTAGAAGATTCCATTATTAGCTGTGGGCAGGATAGGCTTCCCTGAAGAGATAGGATTTCAGAGATCGCCTAAAAGTGAGCAGAGTAGGCGATAGTCTGATAAATAGGGGTAGCGAGTTCCAGTGTATAACTGAAAAAGTAAAAAAAATGGACCCCCTTCCTTTTTTGCTGCAAACCCGTCAATTAGTTTCCATTGGAAAGGCCCAAATTTTGCTTGACCAAATAGGACTATTTGCTAAGGCAAAATCATTCAGTTATTTCTTACTATGACAACAGTGGTATGAGGTCATGAGTTTACAGTCATGTGATTACCTCCATCATCGTACAGCCAGTATATGTGGATGCTTTTCTTTCCCTTGCGACTCTGAAATTCTGTATTAGTTTGATTCAAGTTCTCTGGAACTATGCAAGGGGGCTCTGGAAAAAAAATAGCGACCAGTTCATTCAGGTAACATAATATCAGGAACACTATACTATGGCAATTTTTCATTTTACTATAATTTTATCATATCATTTTTTTCGTGTTAGAAATACAGGGTTCAGTTTATGAGAAAGGAAAAAGTCCTCTTGACCTTGGCAAGCGTTTTAGCTCAGGATTTAGCAGGAATTGACTAGCTTATAATGAGATAATGAAACATGTCACGTAGTTGGCTGCTATGGCCATCTGGTACTTGACTATGTGGATCAGTCTCAGAATCCACAATGTGATTTACATGGTGTAAATAAAAAAATCTAACCTTTTTCTGTTTCCTTATCAGATATTGCCTCATTATCTGAGTCCTGGAAAGCCATGTTATCTGTGGGTAAAAGAAATCATTTAAAATGACATATTATTGTACCAGCTGCTCAGTTATGCATGGTACTGCCCATCATACACATTTTAATTACAAATTTGTTTAAATTCACTTCAAAGAATATACCCCTTACTAAAATAGATGGTGATTTACTTACCTATCTTACAGAAGACGGTGCTCTGGGCTTCCTTCAGTGAAGGCTACACAACCAAATACCAGAGCACTGATCATGTCATATGACCTGTGTTCCAAAATTCGGTCATTTGGCTTGCAGAGCACCATTCCCATAAGAAAAAAAGTATTTATATCAGAACCCCTCTTAGAGGTTGATTTACTAAAGGCAAATAGACTGTCCACTTTGCAAGGAGAGTTGCACTTTGTAAGGGAATTTTCCCCTGCTCTGCTGACTTTTATCATTCAATCATGTGGAGCCAAAAAATTCAGGTTTTTTTTTTTGCATTTCCTTGGGTATGCTTTGCAAAGTGAAATTTCTCCACATTCACGAAACTCTGAGGCAAATAACCATGCAATGTGCATCCTTTTTTTTTTAGCAAAATGAACATTCTTTTTCCATTTAGTAAATTAACCCTTAGCATTTAAAAATGTAATAGAATAGGATAGTGACATTGGGGGTATGATTTTTGCTCAGGACTGTTTTCCTGCCAGAGCACCATCTCTTATTAGTATGCTGCATAAATCTACCCCTCGGCTCTGCTCCCTGAAACCAACTAGGGTGTAGTATTTTCAAAAATGGAGCAGCTGTTCATAGCAACCAATCAGCTCCTGTCTTCAGCTTGTTTAGTTAACCACTTCAAGTCCGGACACTTTCACCCCCTTCCAGTCCAGGCCAATTTTCAGCTTTCAGTGCTATCACACTTTGAATGACAATTGCGCGGTCATGCAACACTGCACATATATGAATTTTTTAGCATTTGTTTGAGACAGATAAAACTTTAGTTTGGTGGTATTTATTCACCACTGTGATTTTTATTTTTTTGCTATATAAATGAAAAACAGTTTGAAAAAAAAAGTGTTTTTCTTATAAAATTTTGCAAATAAATAATCTTTCTTCATAAATCTTGGTCAAAATGTATTCAGCTATTTTTTTAGTAAAAACAAATAACCTGAATTAGTTTATAACCCAAAATTATAATGTAAAAAAATTTTGTTTACATTTTTTTATAATATTATTTATGCTTTTTTTTTTTAAACATACGGTCACCCTAGCAGTACAGTGTCACCATAGTGACACTGTACTACTTGTGGGGGGTGATGAAGATTTTTTTTTTTTTTAACACTGATTGCTATTACACCCATAAAGGCTGTAAAAGCAATTATTTCTCCTTCTCTCTGCCTGCATTCTTGCAGCCATTGAGAAATACTGTGAGAGCTGTGATTGGTCACAGCTTGTTACATGGTACAAGGCTGTTGTGAATAGTCTTGTACCATGTGACCTCTGTGATCATTCATAGATTTCACATGTAGTAAGCAATGATGTCACAAGTGACATCTTGCTTACTACTATTCATGTAATCACTGATTGGGACCTTACACAGAGGTCCCGTACAACGATTGGACACAGCGGACACTGGATCGCGATGCTGTGCTCTCACAGGGAGCACACACAGGCAGAGAAGCGGGAGGACGGTTATAAATGGCCACCCGCTCCTGCACTGCTCTCGTACAGGCTGTTTATGTGCATGGCCTGGATGGGAAGTGGTTAAAGAAGAACTAAACTTACCTTTCCTTCAATGGTCCCTGTCCCTTGCTGGTGCCAGTCTTCATTGCCGGCACAGGGTGATAAATTCCGGGCACACAGGGTCTGTGCCGGTAATGTAAGCTGAGAAATTGCACGACTCCTGCAATGAAAACCTTCCTGCTCACTGTTTGTGAAAGCGGAACTAAACTCATTGATTTACCAGTTTCAAAAAACAGTTACATTCCCGGCACGTGCCGGGATTGCTGTCATGTTTGCTTGTGTCCTCAGCCAAGCTGTCAAACCATCAAATGGCTGGTGTCATCACTGATCACATGTGCAGCAGAACGGCAGTTGAAAATCAAACAGAGGCTAAAACCCCGAACACACGGACCGAGATTAATAGAAACCGGCTGGCATTCAGCCCATGTTTACAAACGCCAGTCCAACAGAAGTTGGCCGAACGGTTGGCTTCTGTTGAATGGGCATGCTGGAAAACCAGCATTCGATTGGCATTTGATCAGTGCCGACAGCCAATGACTGCCAGCGCTGATGTGTTCTGGCAGGTGGGGAGATCACTGTACTAACATCAGATATTTAGAACAGCGAGCTACTCCCGAGCTCTTCAATTTTTTTTTATTCAGCCTCTGAGTTGAACGAAAAAAAAACTGATGGTGTGTACCCAGCTTAAGATGGCTGAAAACAATAGGAGGCTTTAGTTCTGCTTTAACCTTTGAATGAAAGCTAGAAACTGATTGGTCACAATATACAGTATCTGCTCTGTTTTTGATAATTATCCTCTATGCATTTTGTGCAACAGAAGCACCAGTTCAACTATTTATTTATTTTTTGAACAACTGGAAACTAAAATGGCAAAATGTCCCATGTACTGGAGGAATTCTGTAAACTTAAGTAGAAACATTTGTGACTTTGATTTTAAGCTACAACATAGTATGTAAAGAGTGCTTCTGTTTGAGCTGTTTTCACACAGTTGGAGCAAGTGGTCTTGGTGTTTGTAAAACAAACTGAAACATTGTATAAACTGCTAGGTTGCTTTATTTAAAGTGTTCCTAAACCCACAACAGTAAAATCAGTCTGTATATGCAGTAAAGCATGCTTTTTATACTCACTGTGGAACCTAAGGGGTTAATCCTCCATATTGTGTAAAAAGGCTGTTTGATCCTGTCTTCTCTGATCTTCCCCTTCTACTGTCCCCAATCCACCTGCTGATAGTACAGACCTCTAGGAGGCATTCTGCACATGCTCAGGTTAGTGTGTATCGCTCGAGTTTTTTTTTTCTTTAGGATGATGCATTTGATCAGCACAGGGCCAATCAGCACTATCCAGACAGAGGGTCATGGGTTATGCAGCCTCATAGGACAGTCAGAGGAGAATAAAAACTCCTCCTACAGGCTATAACAGTGCTTGGCTGGACACTAATAGAAGTCACAAGACTGCTATATACTGGTGATGAGAAAAATTATTTAGCAGTTTATATTTCCCAAAATATCTGAATTTCCATGTTTTGTGTGCTGTGGAAGATCGGATATAGTTAATGCAGGGTCCTGGGTTTAGTAACTTATGTACTGCATGTTCACATTCTGCTGTCTTTGGAACAGACTGCCTCAGTCAAGATCTGCGTTGTATATCACACTATTCTCTACAGACCTCTACTTCTATATTGTGCTAAAGTTACACTTTATATGCTGTTATTTAAAAAAAATCAGTGTGACAGACTGTAGGTTCTGCTGGTTTTACATACTGATACCAACCGCTGTAGTAACAATAATGTACATATATTTTCCGCAAAATCTATAGACAGTAATTTACTTATTTTGCTGTATGGTATACTTTTGTATCCAGACTTATTTCTTAGTAGCAAATATATTTCATGAAATACATTGTACTGTTGCACTTACATTGTCCCTGCATTTTCTGTGACACATCCAGGCCATCCTTCAAGTGTAGAACACATACACCGAACTGAGCGTCAAACGCATCACTGGAAGAAAAAAGGATTGCATTGGTTTTCTTGCTGCAAGTTCTATGAGGCCCTAACAAGTAACAGTAACTGTCAAGAACTACAAAGCAAATTATTTTGCAAAGCAGTAGGAAAACAAGGACAAAAAACTATGCTTCCAGTGCCAGCCACACCAAAAGAACTGAAAACCCACCTGTAAAGTACTGTGAGATACAGCATTGTATTCCTATAATAGAAAGCACTGAAGGCTAAATGGGGCACAAATGAACAAATGACATGACTTGGCCTATTTACATAAGCAGAGACTGAGTTTTTAGTTTCTGGGTTTTGTGCTGGAAGTATAAGACAATGTTGTATGTCTTTATTCAATGCAAAAAAAATTATATAAAAGATGAAAATTATACTATAGGGGCTAATTATAAAATAGCTTTTGAAAGAAAACTTACTGAATGACCCCAGCGTATTCCTCCAAGCACTGCCCTGGCACCGTTTGCCAGTTATTCTTATAGCCCAGCACCAAAGTGTTTGGCTTTAAGCGACCCAGACCAGAAACCTGCATAGGTAAAGAATTCTATTAGTAACACAAAATACATCAATATTTGTAGCTTTCACAGTCACTAGTTGTAACCAGGGTCAGACTGACAATTCATGGGCCCCCCGGGCAATAGGGGATTATGGGGCCCCTGTGTCATTGCCCACACTCAAAAAAGTATATAAAAAAGGTACCAGGGGCATTTCACTGAGCCCCCTACGGACCCTGGGCCCTCGGGCAGTGCCCGAGTGTTCGAATGGTCAGTCCGCCCCTGGTTGTAACTCATGTATGAATGGTTACAACTGCTAATCATATGTGTTGCAGCTCTTTAAATAAATGACAAGTCCTATTTCTTATAGAAATACAAGGAAGATTGATGATGCGCAAAGCATACTAATCCATTGTAAACAGTGACAGTTCACTGTCCATAAGTACTGACACTATTTGTGAATCCCATAAAATTCAATAGGGAATGAAACAGATTCAAGCAGCTTAGAATCAGTCTAAAGCAGATCAGACATTGGTCAGAAGAAGTTTAAAAGCAACTAAGAAGGATCTCAAATGTAAGCCGAAAGCATCTACAGGCATGTTGCATTTTGCTACCTACACAAGCCCAAAATCAGCTTAAACATTACATAGCTGTATGACTGTCATGGGCCACTTTACTATACATGCTGTTTTCTGGTTTATTACATTAACAGAAGTGATATAATTCCATAAAAGAATAAAAGTCAGCATTAAACTTTTTTTTTTACCATCAGTAGGTATTAATTGTAACGTACAAAAAAAAATGATAATGGTGATGACTGCTTGAGCATGACTGATATACTGTATATCATTGCATAAGGAAGGAAAGCATAACCTCTTTTATTTTAATTGGAAAAAAAAAAGGAAAAAGGTCTTTGGTATCTCTTAAATTATTCTCAACATCTATAGTGCGTTACATTATTGGAGTGTCATTTATCGAAAAGTTGTGGAGGATTCCAAATATCTAAATTTCTATGAAGTAGATAACTTTTCTTTTAATCATTTTTGAATGCATAGTCTTATTATTATTGGGCAGCACAGTGGCTAAATGGTTAGCACTTCCGCCTGGCAGCACTAGGGTCATTGGTTCAAATCCCAGTCATGGCATTACCTGCCTGGAGTTGGCATGTTCTCCCTGTGCCTGTGTGGATTTCCACCAGGTATTCCAGTTTTCTCCCACACTCCAAAGACATGCTGGTAGGTTAATTGGAACCTGTCTAAATTGGCCCTAGTATGTGTGTATGAATGTAAGTTAGGGCTAAATGGTTAGCACTTCCACCTGGCATTACTAGGGTCATTGGTTCAAATCCCAGCCATGACACTACCTGTCTGGAGTTTGCATGTTCTCTCCTGTGTCTGCATGGGTTTCCTTCAGGTACTCCAGTTTCCTCCCACACTCCAAAGACATGCTGGTAGGTCAATTGGAACCTGTCTAAATTGGCCCTAGTATATGTATGCATGAATGTGAGTTCGGACCTTAGATTGTACACAACCTTGAGGGTTAGGGACTGATGTGAATGCACTATATATGTAAAGCACTGTGTAAATTGACGGCACCATATAAGCACCTGAAATAAATAAATAGAATTATTAGTATACTGAACATATCAGAATGCTGGATGTGGATTAAGCCATTCTAAAGAACTTCACTGCCATCTAGTGTACATCTTATGATATTGCATTTCTTAAAACAAAATTTAATTTTGACCATGTTATAATTTTTTTTTAGATGATGTTTATCAAGTGGCAAGCAGTGCACATTGTTTTGAATAGACATAAATATTCAGGGAACTTCAGCATTGTGCATATAGCATTTAATATCATGCAGGTGAGGTGTGGTGCAGTGGAACATGACTGTACCTGCATGAGACTTTTGGCTCCAATTCGCAAAGTGTTTTCACGAATTACACTGTAGAATGATCTCACTTTCCTGGTGTTTAGCCATCGCAGATGTCCCTCTGAGTCTGGCACTTTATCAGTTTCCTGTAAGAAGATAAATAGGGAACTTATTCAACTGGATACAACAGGGGTGTCCAACCTTTTGACTTTTATGGGCCACATTGGAAGCAGAAGAAGTGTCTTGGTCCACACATAAAATACACTAACATAAAGGATAGCTGATGAGCAGAAAAAGTCAGGCAGATCACAAATTAAGGATCACTGATACAGATAATGTACCTATCTGAGTAATAAAACGTAATTCTTTTAAATGATAAAACTAAATGAGGGCAACATAAAACTGGTTAGATATATGGCAGTGTTTTTGATAAACTGACACACCAATATCTGGTTCCATGGATCTAATAGCAATTCTCAGTAAATAGTCGCTCACAAATTGCTGAAAACTGCTGACATGAATAACGTGTGATTGTAAAGTGTGGGGTATTTTTCTTTGGGAAGATAAAACTTCTAAAAGTCCAGTAAAGAAACACTGTGAAAATTTTCTTCTGTGGCATGTGTTCACTAAGTGTAAATGCATTTTTACAAATTAATTCCAAAAAAGATCAAAATTTTGAAATAAGTGTATGATTTTGTGTTGGGCCACATTCATAGCTGTCTTGGGTCGCAGGTTGGACACCCCTGGTATACAAGATGGTAGAAATTGTAAACAGCCATAAATATCTAAATCAATATTGTTAATAAAAAAATTAGAAAAATATCAATTTTGACCTTTTAAATTTTCTTAGGGAGTTTAGAATGAAGCGACACATCTTTTCTCAGAACCATAATAAAAACATACATTATAAATTCCATCTCAACCACTGATATGTCTCAACACTCCAGTACACAACCTTCTTTCTCTCAATGTGCAGTATTCTGAACGCAATGTTCATTGTTAATGAAAAGTCTACTCACAGTTACAACATTGCCACAGATCATTAAACTTGTGTTCTTTGTCACGGAGCTGGCAAAGTCAACCAACGCAGGACGAAAGTTTGGAGGTCCAGTGAGTACAAGACATTGTGGCCTAAAGGTAAATAATATAGCATTGCTAGTATATTAACAAGAAAACAAGAAAATATCTACAAATCATGGTATGTTATAGTGAGGGTACCTAAAGTTCTTGACATGGTCTTGCACCCCTGTGAGGCTTACACTGTAGGTCAGTGCCATGTTGTAAGCTCCAGCCTGTACTGAGGATCCCCAGTTCACTTCTATAGGTTGAAAAAAAAAAGTGCTGGTAAATGTTAAAGAAAATCTCATTATAATTAGTAATTCTACTCTGCTTGCCCAGAAATCAAGACATAAAAGCAGTGGTGTATTTAGGTTTTGTGCTGCCCTAGGCAACTCAAAAATCGGACCTCCCTCCCACCCCCGCAGAGACAGAGCCTGACACTGACCAACACCAGACCCCCCCCCCCCCCCCTTTCCGTGGAGAGAGCCTGACAGTGATCAAAAACACCCCACCCGAGAGAGCCTTCCACTAACACCCCCCCCTTCCCCCATGGCAACAGACAGAAAGATACTCAACTTCACAGCTCTGAACATCCCTGGAAATAACAGTAGGGCTCTGCATACACCATCAGCCTCTCTCGGATCCCACCTGGTCCCCATGCCGCATATGTCCCTTTTTCCAGGGGGCAGTGCTGCCCCCCTAAAAAAAAAATGCCACCCTTGGCAAATGCCTTGTGGTAAATACACCCTTGCATAAAAGTTAACATTCTCACCTGGCTTCTTGTATGTAACATATCCCAGAAGTATTACAATGATACCCACTGCAATCAGAGCAGCCCACCAAGTCAGGAGAAACATAATAACCACTGACACTACAGCACCAAAAAGGGCGGTCCATTTACTGTAATAGCGGAAAGATGGACGCCATCCTGGGGGGGGAAAAGGAATAGAAAATGTCAAAAATAATCTTGAAAAATTTATCACAGAAAAGGGCTTATTGAATAAGCTGATTTTAAGTGCACAGGTGTGGTAACCCAAAGCTGTCAGTTATATTTTTTATACCAGTTACTGTAACACTTTATGAGGTGTTCAGTTCATAAAGTTGTAGCACAAGGATTAGCATCTTTATTTTAGCCATGTGATCGTAACCTTCAAATCTCACTGGACTCAACTGAAAATAACTGCCATTTTTTTTTAGAGAACGTGTATCCTTATCCTGGTGTGTTAGCTTGGTGAATTAAGCCATTTTCAGAACACTGAAGGCAGCTAACAGACATAAAGTGCAGGAACCCCGAATGATCCAGTATTTATATGATACTGGCACAGTGATGAATGTTGAACATAAAAACCAAGGCTATGATCTTCATATAATCCAACATATGCTCTTCTGTTCAAAGCTGTTTAGGTTTCTGTGTTTGGATATGTGAAAAAAAACCACACTGGCCCCAAAATATCATTGTATTTGCTATATCTTGCAAATGGTAACCTTAACATCATTTGGATGGGAGAAGGCTTTAGTGAAGGAGATTTAATAAACCCAAGGAATTTACCTGGTGAATTTGTGATGGATGCATGGAAACAGCTAAAGTTGATGAGTGCATAGGAGCAGAGGAAGAAGTTTGAGATGATTGGAGCAATGGTGTTTAACTCAGCTGATGAGAGAGGATAAACAAGAACTGATGAGTTGCAAAGTCTATTACACATCCACAATTTCACGGTTGTTACTGTATACTAAGACTCTTTGCTATAGTACTGAAAGTTATATAATTTGCAAAAATAGACTTTTTTAGGATGGACTGTAAAATGCACTTACCAATGAGGATAAAACCAATAGCAATGATGAAAGCCAAAATGTAGCCACGGATAGGTTCATTGTTCTTCCCATAACCCTTTCCAAAGAATCCAATAAAGGGGTAGAGCCTGTCTTTGCAGAGACACTGCCAAAAGGTAAACCATGTTAATGATAGTAATGTAAAGAGAAATAATGAACTTTAAATGAGATCTTTCAAAAACAGCACTTAAAGGAAATCCTTCAAATGCAACAACATGTGTATGTAGGTGATCCTTGATGCTCCAATTTGCTTTTGTACATATTTTGCAATATACTATACATTGTATAGGACAAAATGTGCGTATTTACAATATATTTTGAGTTCTTTGCTGTAGACAAATACAAAATATTGCATATGAATAATTCTTCTATACAACTTATAGCCAGCAGGTGGTTCTTTATACTGTATTATTTTACTGCCATGCTGTGAATAGCATGTAGGTTGTAATTTGGTGTCCTGCTGTTCAGCTCTATTCACAACACACATAACAGATGAATTAGTCAGAGGTGGCATCCCTCATCCTTGGCTGTAACTGCCATTGAATGATATGGATTCTCTGATAGATATTATCTTTATTATATTTATATGCTTGTAAGTATTAAAGCACAGTGGCTAAATGGTTAGCACTTCCGCCTGGCAGTACTAGGGTTATTGGTTCAAAGCCCAACCATGGCACTACCTGCCTGGAGTTTGCATGTTCTCCCTGTGCCTGCGTGGGTTTCCTCCCACACTCCAAAGACATGCTGGTAGGTTAATTGGATCTTGTCTAAATTGGCCCTTGTATGTATGAATGTGAGTTAGGAACCTTAGATTGTACACCCCTTGAGGGTTAGGGACTGATGTGAATGTGCAATATATATGTAAAAGCACTGTATAAATTGACAGCGCGCTATATAAGTACCTATAATAATCCTTTTACCTGAAAGACTTTAGGAGCTGACACCAGGCAAGCCAGAGCAGAGGAAAGAGTGGCTGCAAAGATCCCTGCTGTGATCAATGGGCTGAACGCTGACACCAAACTCAATGCCTGTATAGGAAAAGGACAGTAACTACACAGAAGATAAACTTAACATTTCCTCTAATGAAGCTATTGCTTGTATCCTCTTATATTAGATTTCATCCTTTACACCTGTTTTGACATGGTATGGTAACCACCTAATCTATGTGCTCAGTATGCAAACTGTGACTTTAGCTGCAGCTTGGAGCTCTGGAAAAACTTTCCCCATATCCCACAACACATATCTAACCATATACCATACAGCTAAACAGGTACCATACAAGCTGTAGAGAGGTGCATGATTTGTATAGGGATACTACAACTCTTAACATGCAGCTAAAGTAACTATATACTCATTATGTCCCAATTAATGGGATGCAAAGGAAGTCATAAGAAGAATAAACAATAAGGCATATGCAGGTACATTGTGGTTCTTGCCTTCTTATGTTAGTACATTTAGTCTCCAATATAATTTCATATGATCCTTTATGTAATGACTACATGACCATTTACCTATCCAATTTAGTAAACTATTTTAAACTTTAATGGTTAACCTAGATGTACAATGGTCACAAACTTCAGTAGGCAAGTGAGTGGGAATGAAGAAACAGAAGCCCTCAAGTAACCCTTGTTATAACGGAAACATATACATGCCTGATAGTGATTTGACAGTCCATAGTAGCAGCTTTCTGTCTCTTTGCAGGAGGTGAAATTCCAACCAAACTGGCAGCTTAGTCCTTCACAGTCTGTCTCATTAATTGGTATGGTATCATTCAGGTTGCCAGAGGCATCACGGATAACGCAAGATCCTGTACAGAGGAAGAAAAGCAGAAGGGATGATTTTGAAAAGCAGCTAAAGGAAAGAAAGTATCATAATTTTTAATTATCCAGCAACAGCTCACCTATGGTCGCAGAAATCGCAAGATAGGAGATTGTAGTCCAAAATATGGCCATTAGTGTTCCTTTGGGAATGGCCACTGCTGGGTCCTAAAATACATATATAGTGACTAAACAAAATGCTTTCACACACAGTCCATAGTAGAGGAAGTGGATTAATCAAGCTATAAATGGGTTGGGTCAACAATGGGACAATGTTTGTAGAGTGAACAATATGATATATTACTATACCTTTAGATCTCCTGAGATATTAGCTCCTGCTAGGATTCCGGTAGCAGATGGGAAGAAGATGGAAAACATGCCAAAGAATGTTCCAGCCTCCCCTCTCCAGTTAGGAACAATGTTTTCCATGAATATTGATCCTGTGATTAAACAGAAATATGGTTGATTAATGTAATATCAGAGCTGTAATATGAAAAAAATAACAGGGCAATAACATGAATTTTTGGAAAGACTCAGAACACATGAGTTAGTTGGTTAAATCTTAATTTAACATTTTAATGCTCTCTTTGTTGTAATTATGTAAACTTTAAAGTGATACGTCACTCTCACAATCAACATGGACTATTTCTAATCCTTACGCTGCTAGCATTAGTAAATAGATAGGAATGTATATCATATTTACCTGTTTTAACTTTTTTTTGCATTCCTTCATGTACTTCCTGATTTCCATGCCTAAGCAAATGAAGTCATACATCCCTGGAGGCTTCAGGAGGGGAGGGAGGGTTCTCAGCTCAGCCAATGCCTGAGCTAAGGGCAGATGGATTCCAGGAAGTAACTGCTACATGAATCATCTGCCCTTACTCAAGATGACCACTGCCAGAAATGCCAGGAGGTGTTTTTCAAAATTACTTCTCAGCAAAATAGAGCATGGAGACATGGATGGAAGGATGTGTTTGTTTTGAATATTAAAAATGAATTATATAGCATTCTTGGTTTGTGGTATTCAGATACAGTGCAGTTCCACTTTAAACCAACAGTGTATACCATAGTTTTGCAGTGTAATATAAACCTTTTTTAATACTGAAGATTTCCTTACTCCTGCAACCATGTCTCTTGGTCCTGCAACAGCACCAGTGCAAGTGACCAATTGCCACTGCAACCTATCCACTTAGATATCAGTTAGTCTTTCAAATGTATATAAAGGTAGTTGAATTACCAGTCAAATGTTTAATAGCATTCAAAATAACCCAGAACCATGAACATTATTTCTTTATCTCGCTAAAATACCAATATTTTACCAGGAGCACACACAGAACCAATTACGTTTTTACTGGGCAAAAGCAAAGCATTTAACAACCTATGGGCTTCTCAGGAGCAAAGGAACAGTCTGCAGCTTTTCTAATCTCTATTCTTAGAGCACTATGCACAAGGAAGTATGTAGTTGTGGTATATTAATATTAGAGTGGATAAAAACTTATAAAAAAAACTGATAAAAAGCTTAGCTTGATCTATGTCTCATTTATGTATTATGCAGTAATGTATTTGATCGAATAAGGATTTATGGTACTATGTAACCTGGGAACTTGGTCAGTAGATGTTACCAACAAATACTCACCTTGGTAGCCGAAGAAACCTTTGGATTGTTTTTCTTCACTAGCAGGCATGACTGTGCCCACCAGGTAGCTTGCAAATGATATCATGATGACAATAAAGAATATTATTTGTGCCTTTACAAAAAAATAAAATACAATTATTTAATGTGAATGGAAATGATTTTCTCAAAATCAGGATAACAATAGAATCAACATGAACATATGCTTTTAGGTATACCTTTGCCTCCCATTCCATTCCAGCTAATGATATGAAGAGAAGAGCTGTCACAGTTATAACTCCAATAATCCTGATGTCATTGACTGGGTCAGAAATTACAGCATTGTATTCCTAATACAGAAAAAGGTAAAATCAAATAGTTAATGAGTAGAGAATTATACAGACCTGTGTACCATATAAAATATGAACAACAGTGTCTACAATCCACTGATTTTAGTTATATGTACTCAAGCTAGTACACTTAAATTTAAACTCAACCTAAACTAAATGATCAATGTTTATCACATAAGCTACACTTACTATGAGGAGGTCCCGTACAGTTTCTGAAAATCCTACTGTATGCATGGCAACTGCAACTGCATTAGCAAAGGCAAAGATGAGTCCAATGGAGCCTCCTAGTTCGGGGCCCAAGCTTCGAGAGATGAGGAAATAAGTTCCACCTACAAGTCAATAAAATATTATTTTTATATTGTAGGGTATACTGACCAGCAGAACACATAATGTTAATTAACACCTTTATGTTTACTTGGAAGTTCATTTTTGTATGAAATTGATAACCTAATTACATTTATAGAAATAAATCATATTATTTGTAACTGATGAGACCACCTAAAATGGATATTTTAATTTCTAGATGTTGAGAGATTAAGTCACCTAATAATTTCCTAAAATATATGCATAGCCATAACTTTGTTTCATTTTGGATAGGGTAGGGATAAGTTAAAATCCCTGTAATTTAATTTTTTTTTTTTATTCCATTTTCTTCCTGTCCCTGAGATGCAAATGTACATAAGAGGAAATTTTACACAAAATGAAAGGGATTTCCCCTTTTATAAGGTTGTTGCCAAAACAATATTGCCCATTGGAATGTTTTTCTTCACTTCTTGTTCTGTGCAGCTCTAAAATGTTGGATCATGTCCTATCACTTTCTCTCTCTTTGTGAAAGTGGTCATCAGAACAAAAGGAAAGGATGGATCTAGCAAAAACATAGACAGCAATAAAAATTGTATTTTCACCCTTCGTTATTTTATCCACACAATAAAAAAGTGTGGGTTATACATGCCATTTAAGCTTTTAGGGAATTTAGTGGTGATGTGTTTGTACATGAGTTCCTAGGTCTGTCCGCCTACTGTACTTACTGGAATGGGGCTCTTTTTTTTTGTTTGATTCCTAATTTTTATTATATTTTTTTTTTCTTTTTTTTTTCCTATAACGTTTTATTAGGAACAAGGAAACAGTACAAGTCAAAAGTACAGCATAAAGGGATATCATGTAGTTCTGAATGTTCAAGGCATACATACAGGCACATACTATTAGGCAGTATAGATAAACTGAAACCCACAATCAGTGCATACTGTGAAGAGGAAATACAGACTGCGAGGGGATAAATCCAAAGTAGAGGAAGGTTTGTTCCAAACCGCAGTTTTGGTGGAGGGCTCTCCATGGGGCAAAGATGTCTGTCTGGTCTGGGAACATAATAACCTGAAGTCCTTGGAGGATCAATAGGAGATGGGGCGTGGAACAAAACCACATAAGTCTACATAGGAGGGGGTTGTGGGTCGGAATGTCTAGTAGCTATTTAGCAAGTCAAAGGGTATGTGTATCTACCAGTACCAATCTGTGGCAACTTAGGAGAGTGTGTATTGGAGAGTGCTGATGATGGTGTGACTTGTGGGAGAGAAAAGATGGTAGAAAAGAGTAGAGGAAAAGGAAGGGGGGGGGGAGGGGGGAAGTTTCTCATGCAGGAGGAGACTAGGAGAGGGGTAGGGGAATTTTTTATTATATTATGTAGAATAGAATGCAACAGGAATAATAATAATACATGAAGGTGGTCAGGAACAAACTCCTAGGTGGACAGAGACAGAACCCAGAAATGTGACAGGGAGAAAATGTTAAACATATGGACTGTAGACAGGTCATCATTAGACCATAGAATATAATAAATGATAAGACATTTTATTTTTCCTTGTAGTGCTTGACCTACCTGACTTTACTTTTCCATTTGTGGAAATGGCAGAAATGGACAAGCCTGTGATAGATGTCACCAGCACAGACATTAAAATAATCAACCAAGTGAGTCCTGAAACAACACAAAATGATATTGCAAATTACATATTTCTTCAGATCACCATGAAGTAATTGTTACAAAGATCACTAGTGGTAAGACCATTTGCAACAAAGATAAAAGCATCAATATAAATTAATAAGGGATTTTCAAATGTTAAATATCATATTTCATCTGTCCAATGAGCGAAAACAACACTGAACTGGGGATTGCAATTGAACTATTATGAGATGGGAGGGATGCCTCCATACTACTACACTTCGGAGTAAGAAGCAGTAATTAAACTTTATGTGGGACATATCATTTGCAATCATTATTTCAAACATACTTTTATCAGCAAAGACTAATTTGTTTATCCATATTTTACCCAAAATTCACCTTTGGGAGCATGTTACACCCATATTTAGGAGTGTAATGCCTGACATTTTCAAGCAGCCCCCCGCACTGCCCCCAATCCTCCCCAGTGACAGCAGTTGGGGGTTCTCTTCCTCACACCTGACCACATTCTGCACACATAGCCGTGTCATTCATTCACAGCGAGCTGTGAAAGAATTGACTACAAGTACTGTCTGCCAATGCAGCACATTGCACTTGTGAGCTCTCTCATAGTTCATTAATCTTCCTGCTCTTCAGTAATTGTCTGCCCATACAGGCAGACAGCTATACTAAGTCTGCTGGAGCCTGACATTGCACCCATAATCTACTGATCACAGGTGCAATGCTTTCCTGGCTCCTGCAGGAAAAATAATAAATGCAAATTTCTTTCTTCTGTAGAAATATGTGCATCTATTAATTTTTCCCAAAAGGTGAACTTAGCTTTTAAGATAGAAGACTATAAAGTACATAATATTATGCTAAAATCTAGAACATTTTAATAAACAAATTACTCTATATTAACAGCTTAACCTTTCAGTAAATTTGACCTAATCTATATATTAGACTAACTCTACATAGTAAGCATTTTGCTAGCATTATTCTTGATTATAAAGTGTTATCCATACCTATTCCTGCCTGGGCTGTGATCCATGGTAACCTCAAGTATAAGATGACTCCCCATATATTTAACATACATCGGATCTGTTGAGAGAATATCAAATAAAAATCGCATTAGGTAATTAATGTATTTTGAATATAGTAGTGTAAAAGTAGCATTGTTCAGAAATATTAGATAGTTTTGAACTGATGCTTACCATAACACCTTTCATCCAGCCAAACCGAACAGGACCTTGGGGTTCTTTTTTCTTCCTAGTCAAAGAAAAAAACGGGAATCTGTTTTTCTTTTTCTTTTCATTTGACTCTTCCTTTAGGTCATTTTTGTCTTTGTCACAGGTTTCTACATCTTGATCCAGGTGGACTGGAACCATTGCCTGCTCATCCTGTAAGATAGGGTTTGAAATGAATATTAATTACCAGGAATATTGTTTGCATTAATAATATTGTCAGGGAAAAAAAGCAGTAGTATTTTGAACTGCATTGTACTTACTATGGCATTTCTTAAAATATCCAAGGAGGGACGACTTCTCTTCAGTCTTCCAGGTGCTACTGAATTAACATAGAACTCATGTCTGGGTGTGGCATCTAAGGTATTGTATGCCATTTGCCTTTTTGAAGCCACTTTATTACAGAAAGGCAAGTTCGCAGGACTGAGGTAGATTCCAGCTGCCAGAGAATTCCCTGGCTCTTTAGGAGTGCTGGTGACTTCTGGTTCTGAATTATCTTTGGAACAAGGAATCATCTGTAGTCCTGTATTAAAAGCTTCGATTGATTGGTTAAGATGATCTAAAGCTTCTTGTACATTTTCTTCTGGAACATCCAAAGCCAGACCATCAATAGTAGAGGTATATCCAGAGGAAAGCTCATCACTGCCAGATGAACACTCCAGTGACTCCAAACTTTCGGATTTGACAGTAAAGGCTACTTTGTTTGACATATTTGGCAAACATGTACACTCATTTCTGTTATCAATTTTAATTTCATTCATAGCGAAATGAACAGGATTACAAGTGTGATGATCATTCCCATGATCTGACTTTTTATCTTTGGAACTGGGAATCCCAGAAGCACAAAGGTCATGGAGATTGTCATTAGGAGTCCAGCTTCTACAGCGGCCAGACATATGAGCTTTCTCTATGGTGAACCTTCCGATGGAGAATGGAGTGCTTTCTTTGCAATCCATTAACTCTGGACAGATGATCTGTTGGACCTGTGGATGCTAGTATCTGTAAGAAAGAACACAACAATACACCTTATGAGATTTTACCACCAAATCTAGTGAAATTAAAGTTTAGTTCCTATATTACTTCTCACACCGTAAAATACTCTAAAATATAAAACATGTTAACTCTCATGAATGGAAAATAAAATTGTATATATATATATATATATATATATATATATATATATATATATTTAATGTACAAGTTCTTTTCAGCTGCTTCAACACATGTTGATTGTCTGTGTATTTTACAGATAAAGGACAGGTGGCTTGTTGTGTCATTCAATGGGATGTCACAGGAATTTGTGTAACTAAGCTTCTGTTTGTTTTATGTGTATCAATTACCTTGTGTTTTACTTATGTGCCTCTAATATACTTCAATAATTTCAAACATTTCTTCCAAATAATAGTTTTTAGACCCTTAAATTTTCATTGTTATCTAACTAGTATAGTTCCACTAAACAAAAACATATTATATAGCATTAGTAAATATATTCTGCTTTAATATATGGTGGTAAAGATTGGACTGGGGTAAAGATGAAGATTGGGGCAATGCTCTGATGTACAAATGAAATATGGTCGCTATAAGTAAAACGGTAAAACTTCAATAAAATAATACAGTTTAAGTACATAGTTATTCTGGCTGAAAAAAAGACAAATGTCCATCCAGTTCAACCATTAAAAAAAAAGGAAATGTTATAATCCTATACCCACAGTATATGAACTGTTTGTCAACTGTGTTGATGCATACAGTATGGCACTAGTTAATTAAAACATGTTAAAACTGTTAAAGTAATAGGGCTTATAAAATAAGCATACTGCAAAGAAGGCAGAACAAAATAATAATTATTTCACTAAAATCTGATAACTCAGCATTCATGACACTCAGCAAATTGTGTATCAGTTTTAAAGAGTATGCAGTTCTTATTATCTATGTAGTTAAAATAATATTATATAAGGAAAAAATGGTAGTGATAAAAATATTAAAGTGTATGTAAAAAAAAATATTGTTTTCTATAGTTTTGAATGGAGTTGGGAAGGGTTGGACCCTTTGAGTTTATTGCTGTCTGTATCCCCACTCGGGTTTTACCTCTCTATTTGCCCTGGTGACTAATATTAACGAGACAGAATTTATAAGTAAAATTTTAGAGTTGTCACAAAAAAAAAAAAGAGATGAGGTGAGTGAGGAAAAAAAACGTTATAAAGGTCTTAACCTTTCCCTTCTCAACCCAAAAAATCTACATGAAACCTAAGACAGGCCTTTTTCATGTATAACTATGAACAACATTGGTAACAAGGAACAACAATGAACAACTTTGGTACTGAATCTCTTATTAGAAAGTAGTTATTCAGAAGGTTCAGAAATCTGGCAATTCACTTTAGGGAGTATTTTCATGTTAAAAGTATATTGTACTAAAAATGACTATTTTCTTCTATAGCAACTATTTGGAGCTGCATGCATAATGCATGCAGTTTTTTTTTTTTGTATGGTTTAGATATTGCAATACAAATTAAACAAAACAAATACAAAAACAGTTCAATTATGGCAGAAGATAATAATCTTATATGTAAAATATTGTTTTGTATATTATTTAATCCAGTTATATTAGCTAACTTTTTGTTTCATGATTAATGTCAATGACATGAAATTACAAAGCAGGTAAATTTACCAACAGAAAATACTAAATTGTAGATTTTGTTTACTCAGATTGAGTTGATTTCTTTTTTAAAGCATAAATGGTACTTGAATCACAGAAAATATATGATTATTGTCTTTAAGTAATAAAATGAAGTTTACCTGTAAATATGTAGATGTTCTTACACTTCTGAAGATGTATTGATGTATTCTGTCTCTCCTTATGATGAGGAAGATATAAAAACCCAAACAAGAGACTTAGCAGAGTCTCAGATATTTACTTCACTCTACTGGTCAGAAATCTTCAGGCTGGAGAAGACACTTCTCCAATCTGATTGTGGTCATCACTGAGAATCTTTCCATTCTCCTAGCCTTATATCCTATGGACAAAACAATGCACCTGTCCTACCCTGCCCCTTTAACATGAGGTAAGCATGATGCCACAATCTCTATCACAGAATCCTCCTACTCAACTAATTTGCATTATCCATCACCTGTTGCAGAATAATTGACAAAGTTCTACTATTGTGAAGCAAGATGGTCTTGATGGCGCCAATCTACATATTACAGGTGCATTGTCTAATACAGACAGCAGTAAGTGGAAAACAAACTCTACAGTTTCTGCCATGGCCATTCATGACTTCTTGAAGGGGTTTTAATGAGTTTCAGTTCTCTTTAAAAAGAACAATAACTAATCAGATATAAAGCTAATTTAGCAACAATTACTCGTAAAGGTTATACACAAATCTGACTGTGTAATATACAACTTGATTACACATAACCAGCAAAACTGGATACTAGAGTGTTTATTTTGAGTATTGCGGAGTAAGTAGATGTGATACAGTATTACAATTATTATTTAATATTTATGGTTGTAGCATACTACGTAAAGAGGTCCATACTTTAAAGGTTCTAAATCTATAAGGGCTTGTTCACACAGGCAGCCTGGGAAGAGGTGGTAGAAGCAGGTGGTTGGGATGTGGTTTAAATGCCCTCTCTCCCCCCACTGTCCACCTAAACTAATGCATGCAGCATCTTAGGGCTGCATACATGGTATGAAGCTTTGCCTCACAACTGCGTAAAAAAATAAAATGGCATTTTACTTTGGGCAGGGGGTACTGTCATCAGACTCGACTGATTTAAGTGAATGGGCCCTCAACCTCCTTGTAACCATGTGCAATGCAAGTTGTTGCAGCACAGTGGGTCAGCATGTTGAGGTTTAAATCAAATGGTGAGGAGGCGACATATTACCATCTCACCATCTGTCAAATGCTCTCTGAAAAGCAATCCATCAAAGATATATTTGAATAGTATAAATCAGCAGAGTTTGACCTCTTTCACTAAGTTAAGGGGAAGTTTCCTTGCAAAGTAAACAGCCTATTTGCCTTTAATAATTCAATCCCTATGCATGGGCACTCTAAAAGCCTGTTCACAGTAAAGTGCTGTTAAAAGACTTTTACTTTTACTCGTATACAGCAAGTGTATGGTACCAGCGGACTGACAGAAAGCTAACATGGCGCTAATATTCAAAAAAGGACCAAGATACATACCATGAAACTACAAGCCAGTCAGCCTTACAGCAAACTTTTCTAAACTATTGGAGGGTATGATAAGGGACCATATCCAAGTATTTGCTGATGAAAATAGTGTAATTAGTAGTAACCAGCATGGGTTTATGAAAAATCATTGTTGCCAGACTAACCTTTTAACATTCTATGAGGAAGTGAACTGCTCTAATACACTCTGCCACTGCTCCTGAACTGACCTGTACTAAAACCACCCTTATCAAGAGCCATACCTTTGTCATGCCAACTACACCTTACCAACCGTTCAGTGTTGCTACCACTCTCTGCCAATCCCTCTAATGGCCTCTGCTCACCCAATGACTAAAATTCAAAATACTAACAACAACATATAAAGCCATTCACTACTCTCCCACAGCTACATCACCAACCTCTTCTTAAAATGCCAACCAAGACATTCTTGTCTGACAAGACCTCTTGTTCTCTTGCTCTCTTATTAGCTCCTACCATGCTCACCCCTAGAACTTCTCAAGAGCTAATCTCATCCTCTGAAACTCCATGCCCCAATCTGTCTAATTATCTCCTACTCTGATTTCTGAAAACCCATCTCTTTAGGAGGCCTATCCTGCCTCTAAACTGAACTTTTACTTTCTCCATCTGTTCATACCCCTAACAGTAATTATCTTTTTGTATCACTTGAGCCTCCCTTTAGATTGTAAGCTCTCATTAACAGGGTCCTCTGATCCCTCTTGTGTTAAATTGTATTGTACCTGTACTGTCTTTCTCCATTTTGTAAAGCACTACTTAAACTGTTGGTGCAGCACTATACAGTTGCAAGAAAAAGTATGTGAACCCCTTGGGATTATGTGGAGTTTTGCATGAATTGGGCATAAAATGTGCTCAACAATAGAAGAACACAGTCTGCTGAACATAATACTACACAAACATTAGATGTTGCCATGGTTTAATTGCACATAACATGTAAACATTCACAGTGCAGGGAGGAAAAAGTATGTGAGGCCCTAGCCTAATGACTTCTCCCAGAGCTAAGATTGAGTTGTTTGGGAAGAACACACAACACTATGTGTGGAGAAAAAAAGGCACAGCACACCAACATCAAAACCTCATCCCCACTGTAAAACATGGCGGAGGGAACATCATGGTTTGGGGCTGCTTTGCTGCCTCAGGGCCTGGACGGATTGTTGTCATTGATGGGAAAATGAATTCCAGAGATTATCAAATCATTTTGCAGGAAAACGTACGACCATCTGTCCGCCAACTGAAGCTCCGCAGAGGATGGGTGATGCAACAGGACAATGACCCAAAGCATACAAGTAATTCAACAAAACAATGGCTGCAACAGCACAGAATACACCTTCTGGAGTGGCCCAGTCAGAGTCCTGACCTCAAACCGATTGAAATGCTGTGGCATGACCTTAAGAGAGCGATTCACACCAAACATTCCAAGAATATTGCTACACTGAAACAGTTTTGTGAAGAGGAGTGGTCCAAAATTACTCCAGATCGTTGTGCAGGTCTGATCTGCAACTACAGGAAACGTTTGGTTGTGGTTACTGCTGCCACAGGAGGGTCAACCAGATATTAAGTCCAAAGGTTCACATACTTTTTCCTCCCTGCACTGTGAATGTTTACATGTTATGTGCAATTAAACCACGGCAACATCTAATGTTTTTGTAGTATTATGTTCAGCAGACTGTGTTCTTCTATTGTTGTGACTTAGATGACGTTCAGAGCACATTTTATGCCGAATTCATGCAAAACTCCACGTAATCCCAAGGGGTTCACATACTTTTTCTTGCAACTGTAACTACTAATATGGATAACAATAATAATACACTTATGACAAAAATGTGTCTGTTTGGCACCCGTGCATTGAACCCTCATAGACGTCTATGAGGCTATCCCATGGAGTTCTTTTCTCTTGGGACAGCTACATACTAGGCTAGGAGGGCTCAGTGCATAGGCGCCATGGCACTGAAGAGGAGTGGTTCAGGTACACTGGTAAGTAAGAAATGTTGACCATACATTAAAATAATTTTGTTTGAAAACTTTTGATTCATGAACGTTCTTTTAACTTTTGAATGGGGTCAAATCAAAATTTATTTTTTGCCAGAGTGACAAGGAAAATTTGTAGGAGTAGGATGGAAAAATGTTTTCAAACAAATGAATTTCTTAGAGTGAATGTGCTTTTCATTCAGTATATAACATTCATTACAAACAAATGACATTTTGAAGAATCCTATAGTGTTTGGCCAGCTTAGATACTGGTTGGGGGTTAGAGGGATTTAGCATTAAATTACAATTATCCTGTATGCAGGGTGCAGGGGTCTTCACAACCTATCCTCACATTAACAGGAAGAAAAGCTCCATGTACCACTCTCCTTTTGGAAAATAAAGACATTAGTGATGTAAGGACAACTTTTAAGTGCTGTATATACTGTCAATACACAATACGTCATAACTTTATATATCGGTAGCTTATGTAAGAAGTATCACAGCTGTCACCCACTGATTTAAATAGTATTTTTTTGAATTTCACTGTCAACAACTTTGATATCACTAAGGCTGCATTCACACTTGAGTGATTTGTAGCTTGAAACGTAAAGCTCCAAAAATGCTCAAACTTAAAAAAATCAATTGATCACCTGAACTTGCGAATAGGCACCATAGAGAACAATTTATATTTTAAGTTTGAGTGTTTTTGGAGCTTCAAGCTACAATTCGCTCTAGTGTGAATGCAGCCTATGGGAGGATAAGGCCTCATGCACGCTGGATATTTTGCTAACTCTCCTAGACACCTGTACTCCTGGCAGCTGTGTTTTGAGCAGAAAAAACACTTGACACTTTTAAATTCATGTAACAAGTTTAGATGCGTTTAGGCAGGACAAGCATTAATTCATTTCATTGGCTAAAATAATAATTGCTGGCCATAGAAATACATTAACATTTAAGTGCTAAACGCCCCTAGTGCTAACGCCCGCTTATATGCATTTAGACGTGTTTACCCACCTTCCGCCCGCCCTGTAGAACAATGACGGGCGCAAGGTGGTTCTCTCGTTCTAATAGGACGTCATATGACGTCCTACCATTCTCACTGCACATGCGCGGCTCAGGGAGCGTGCAGCGCAGCGATCGCCAGTCTGCTGTGTCCCTCGAACACAGCGGATCACGGAAAGAGCCGAAGATGTCGGCTCAGTCATGTGATCAGCTGTGTCCAATCACAGCTGATCACATGTAAACACGGAAATGCCGGTTATTGGCATTTCTCTCCTCTCTCGAGCTGTCAGCGTGACAGCTCGAGAGGAGAGAAATGCCAATAGGAGAGGAGAGCCGGTAATCGGCTTTCCGCGGAGGGGACATGTACACTGATCATCATGGCACTGATGATCAGTGTGGCCTCAGAAGTGCCACCTGTCAGTGCTCATCAGTGCCAGTGCCCATCAGTGCCACATCAATGCCACATATCAGTGCCTACCAGTGCACATCAATGCCACATATCAGTGCCCATCTGAGCTGCCTTTCAATATCACCCATCAGTGCCAGTCAGTGCCACCTATCAGTGCTGCCAATCAGTGCCACCTATCAGTGCCAGTCAGTGTCACATATCAGTGCCAGTTAGTGCCAGTCTGTGCCGCCTATCAGTGCCAGTCAGTGCTGCCTATCAGTGCCAGTCAGTGCTGCCTTTCAGTGACAGTCAGTGCTGCCTATCAGTGCCATATATCAGTGTTATGTATCAGTGCTGCCTTTCAGTGCCCATCAGTGATTCCTGTCAATGCCCATCAGTGCAACCTACCAGTGCCTCCTCATCAGTGCCCATCAGTGCCACCTATCAGTGTCCATCAGTGCAGCCTATCAGTGCCCATCACTGCAGCCTCATTAGCGCACATCAGTGAAGGAGAAAAATCACTTATTTACAAAATTGTGTAACAAAAACGAAGAAAAAATTTTTTTTATTCAAAATTTTCAGTGGTTTTTGGTTTGTTTAAGAGAAAAAATAAAAATCCCAGAGGTGATTAAATACCACCAAAATAAAGCTCTATCGGTCTCAAAAAAATTATAAAAATTTCATATGGGTACAATGTTGCATGACTGCGCAATTGTCATTCAAAAGTGTGACAGCGCTGAAAGCTGGAAATTGGCCTGGGCAGGAAGGGGGTATAAGTGCCCTGTAGGCAAGTGGTTAAATGTGTCAGGCATTTTTTTTCTTGTGAAAACGCCACTGCTCCTATATGTGCTGGCAGTTGATTTTTTTCTGCCTCTACACACCCTGCCTCTACATTCCTCTAAATGCCTATGTGTGCATGGATACATAGGCTAACATACAAAGGTGTTTAGAGGCAGGAAGAAAAAATGTCAGACGCACCTAAAAGCAATTAAAAAAAAAACGTCCTATGTGCATGAGGCCTAAAGATACCTTCTCTTCATCTTTTTCACAATTGTCTATAATGATACTGTATATAAGGACCATATACTCCCCTACTATGAGCCACATAGCTCTTTGTTTTGGAGTGGATACCTTTTCAAAATACAGTATGTCTGCTTTGAACCAAAGTTGCCCATGTACTTACACAATACAGAATTAGACGCAATGGACTGTAAGAATCATGAGATTAACAGAGATTCTTATGGAGATGATAAAAGCATGACAATGAGCACCTCCAACTATAGGAAGCACTTGTTAGCCGGCATAGAGATTTTTCACATTTGATTGTTCCCTTTCCTGTGTACAAAAGACAATGTGCAGCTCAACATATGTAAATCTCATTTACATGTTGGTTGAGCAAGATAGAAGATAACAGTTGGCCTGTGCTGGTTCTAGAGGTGAGGATCCTTATTGTTGCGCTCTCTGTGAGATATGTATTTGGGGTTGATTTACTGAATAAGCTGTTCACTTTACACGGACATTTTCACTTATCATAGTGGTGCAAATTCACTTTGCAAAAAGTACCCAGTCATATGCAAGAAAAATAAATTAAATTCTAAGTATTTTGCTTGCACTTACTTAGGTCTTAACATTCTAACCAAAACTGTCTCAAAAATGGCCTACTTTTTCCCTAGACTACACCTTCTCCAATTTTATTACTTAACACCTGTAACTCCTGTTTGTTGAGGAGTCAGCCTATTGCTTGTGACCATTGCAGCATAGGAATTTTTTCAGGGTTAAAGGTCAAAGTAACCCTTTTATTGTCTCAAGAGAATGACATCCTTTTTAGTGGTAAAACTAAGCTTCTAGGTGTTAACCGATGTATTGATGAATAATTAACAATGTCTCACACATTAAAAAGGCTAATGATAAAGGCTTTTATTATACACATTTGTAGCTGTGTATGATAACAACCATTGATCTAAGGAATTATCAGATTGGATATGTACATACAAAAAAAAGGAATTGTCTGAAAGTATCACACTATCTCTTTCAGCATGAATGAAACTCTGTAGATCTTTTTGAAGAAGAGATCAGTATTGCTGTCCACAAACACTTTAATCTTTCAATTGATATAGGTTTAGCACCTTGCACAGCTTGACAAGTGTAGTGATGAATTATATTTAATTTATAAAAATGGGCTATATTCAGAGGCGTCCCTAGGGTTGGTGTCACCCGGTGCGGTAACACTTGGTGACACCCCCTCCAACGATCTCCGCAGAATGGATCGGATCTGCAGATTGAGCATAATTGATCGGACTCCGATCCATTATGCTCAATCCGCAGATCCGATCCATCCTGCGGGGATCGTCAGCTTTCTTTACAACTTACCTTTCTTGGAGCAGGTCCGGTGTCACCCCCCGTATATGTTGCATGCCGGCGATCCTCGCAGAATGGATCGGATCTGCGGATTGAGCATAATAGATCAGAGTCCGATCCATTATGCTCCCCAATTCGCAGATCCCATCCATCCTGCGGGGATCGCCGGAATGCAACATATACGGGGTGACACCGGACCCGCTCCAAGAAAAGGTAAGTTGTAAAGAAAGCCAACGATCCTCGCAGGATGGATTGGATACAGGGGCGGACTGACCATTTGGAAACTCGGACGATGCCCGAGGGCCCGAGGTCAGTAGGGGGCCCCATGAGATGCCCCTGGTACCTTTTTCATAGGCTTTTTTGAGTTTGGGCAAGGACACAGGGGCCCCATGATCCCCTATTGCCCGGGGGCCCCATGAGTTTTCAGTCTGCCCCTGATCGGATCCATCCTGCGGGGATCTTCGGCTTGCTTTACAACTTACCTTTTCATGGACTGGGCCCGGTGTCACCCCGTGCGGTTGGTGTCACCTGGTGCGGGCCACACACACTCCCCGCACCTGCCTTGAGACACCACTGGTTATATTAATAAAGGATTCATGCAGTTCTGGAAAATAAAACTCCATTTGGTCCATTCAGCCTCCTCTGCAATCTAGTAAATAAAAAGCCAGACTTTAAATACGGACTTACGTAGGTATACATTCCTGGAGTTGCTTAATGTCTTGCAGTGAGCTAGAGCCCCAACACAGGTGATAGGGTTTAATAGACAACTTATCTCTGTGTCACCCACTGTTACATACTTTCTCTGTGCTTTTAGTCTGCTCTATTTCTCTGTTGGAGCCAGTAGTCCAAACCCTATGTGTCTTGTATTGTGTCAAAACGTAAAGGATAAGTCCAATTTTTTAAAAAAAAAAATAAATATATGCACATTTTTTTTGCAGGTAAAAAAATGTCCATTTATTATTTTTTTTATTTGGAGCCTGTAAAGCATTGCACTCACGATCAGCAGATCACAGGTACCATGCAGAACTCCTGCAGACTTGTCAGTGTGTCTGTCTGCTCATATGGGCAGGCAGATACACACTGACGGGAAGAGACAATGAACTATCAGAGTGCTCAACAGTGCCATGGTAGTTCATTGAGAACGAAAAGCCGACATTTGTAAAGGCTGTCGGTACTTGTAGTTTCCCATTCACAGAACTCTATGATTGAACGATGCAGCTGGGCTGGCAGGCAGAGCCCCGCATGGCCATGTTTTTTAAAAATATGACGGCAAGTGGGGGGAGAAGATCCCCGGATTGCTGTCACTAGAGTCAGCGGAGCGGGCAGCAGCTGCAGAAGTTAGAAGTTACATGTTACATGTTCCACCCTAAAATGGGTAGAAAGAGTAACATGTTTCCAAAGGTGAATTTATCCATTAAACAGGCTTCCTCTGCTACTACACATTGCAGTGTTTGGGCCTGGTGCAGGGGCGGACTGACCATTTGGAAACTCGGGCGCTGCCCGAGGGCCCGGGGTCAGTAGGGGGCCCATGAGATGCCCCTGGTATCTTTTTCATAGGCTTTTTTGAGTTTGGGCAAGGACACAGGGGCCCCATGATCCACTATTGCCCGGGGGTCCCATGAGTTGTCAGTCCACCCCTGGCCTGGTGATTGAGCGCTCAAGTCTGAGCATTTCACTTTAGTAGGAAAGGAAGAGATGACATGCTCTCCTGCACCTGGAAGAACCTGGAGAGATAAAAAAAAAAAGCAATGGAGTGACAGAGGAGCACAGTAGAATTGGTGGTTGGTGGGTTGTTTTTTTTTTTGTAAAGAACCTGTTGCTTATCCCTGAATTTGCAAAATGACTGAATTTTTTTTAACTATCTATGGTATCACAGTATGCTCAGGCAATAGGATTGCAAAAAGAGTTTTTTTTTAGAAGATCTTTCCATCAACATGTGTCCTCAGATTTTTCAGCATGTGCACCAGTTGACCAATTGAAAAGTTTTGTTAAGTCAGCCATAGATGGGTTGAATCTGGCCAGTTCAGCAGGGGCTGGCTGAGATTCGATATCCATCTATGAGCAGGCTGATTGTACCCAAGTCGATCAGTCAATCGACTTGGGTATAACCAGCATGTCAGACCTTTAGCATGCAAATATTGCCAGCAGTTATAGACACTAGCAGTAATCACTGTGCTCTCCTGGCAGGGATGGCGCTCCACCCCCCACACCGGGAGAACAAAATAGCACTATGGGAAGGATTTCCACATCAATTCTGATTGTGTTGATGGGGGAATTGAGCAATTTTCTTTCCTGCAACCTGTGGTTGCAAAAAAAAAAAAAAAAATCACATAATCTATGACCTGCGTAGCAAACCCTCAATAAAGTGAGATCAGAGGTTTCCACCATATTGTCCTAGTTCCCATAGCCTCTAGAACTGACTTGATTCTGTTGGTCTTAGTATCTCATACCTGTGGATTTACATAATGCTACTTCACCATCTAATTAAACACTCATAAATTTGTTTTTTTGGGGTTTTTTGTGCCCAAGTAAAATCAGTTTGGATTGTTTTTAAAATGTAAGTGCAGGTCTCTGAATACGCTAACTTATCTCTACATTATTACTAATAGAAGTTATTAGAGAAAGTAGCAAAAAGGTAGGCGATACTTAAGCCTGAGTGGTTGAACATAATAAAAAGCAAATTTAAAAAAGTCAAAACTTGAATAGTGTATCAAAAAGTCAAACGTGTACATGTGCAGATTATCATGTTATTATAATAAAGATCTCTCACATCTGTGTACTTGATTTTTCCAGGTATTTTTTGCTAACATATAATTTGAACTATTTTGGGATCAGAATTTTTTTGTCCTTTTTAATGCTGTAACCGTTTAACCATGAATAACTTTTTTTGGTAAGGTATTTTGTTGACTATTATCAAGTATGTCAATGGCCAGCCTTTTTTTTCATAAAAGTGTTTTCTATAGATTATACAATGCAATAAAATGAATACTTAAAGCAGGCAACAAAACAAAAAAAATTAAAAAAATGTCACAGTATCATATGTGTATGACAAAATCAGTGCAGCTGAAAGGTCACTCTATTGGTCCAGGGGATGATTTTAAAGTGAGAGGAGGGAGTGGTCTAGGTTCAGGGCGGACTGACAACTCATGGGGCCCCCGGGCAATAGGGGATAATGGGGCCCCTGTGTCCTTGCCCAAACTCAAAATAGCCTATGAAAAAGGTACCCGGGGCATTTCATGGGGCCCCCTACTGACCCGGGGCCCTCGGGCAGTGCCCGAGTTTCCAAATGGTCAGTCCGCCCCTGTCTAGGTTCATATGACTGTTAAGTTCCAGCCGTGGAGACCATGTTTTAGGAAATTTAGGGTGGGTATCCTTAACAGCTTCCCACCTGGCCTGGCGTCCCTTTTTTGAATGTGGGGAGTGATTGGCTGTTATAGTGGTCACATTATTGGAAGCCAGTCCTTCCAGCTACTGATTGTTATTGGGGACTAAGAGCTGTCTTTGACAGCTTGTTGTTTGTGCTGGGAACCATTGGCCACCCAGTGCCGCGTGTGCAGTGTGTGAGTGTTAAAGCCAACCCTTTTGCCATTGCACATACTGTATATGTTATGCAGCCAGCAATAGGTTAAGTATTGCAATGAGTTTCTTGTGCACCTTGGTGCCCATCACTCTCTGTTTCCTATGGCCAGCCTTTACTTGGATGAATTAAAGTGTGCCTGTGCTCAGACTATTGTTCTTGAAAAAAAATACATACTCCCACAAGCAGTAAATAAAAATTTTAAACCATTCCATTCCTGACCTCTCTGGAAGATATAGATGCCTTTAATGTGTAGTTATTTTTTCTGAGAGGTCCTCACAGATCGATGCAAAAACTCTGAAGTTAGATTTCTTTTGGTTCCCAACAGCTTAGAAACAATTGCTGCTTTTTTACATTGGAGGGCTTCCAGGCTGCCATGATTCTCTTTTCATAGAAAAACACAGTGCAGTGTTCAGAACTTTGAAATGATTTTCTTCACAATGGTTATAGATACAGAGATGAAAAAGACCTTAGTACAAATATTTTCACTGTGTCTTCACAATTAGTAAATACATTAGCCTGCATAACCTGGGCACAGGTTTTCTTTAAATATATGTTACATAATCGCATGTAATATGGTAAAAAGAGTGCAGGCTCTGTGTACATTATTAGCACTTTCAGGTTAGCCAGACAGGTGAATATACAAAACCATTCTCTTTGCACACAAACATTTTAGCAAGGTCGCACTTTGACAAGTTAGTGCTAAACAATACAACACTAATGTTTACTGTTGACACAGGAATTGAAAGGAAATCCCTCCAAAGTGCGGGGAAAATATCCTTTGAGACAGTTGTCATCAGAACAAGTGTCCTAATTGCAAAATATTCCTCTTTATTTCTGTTCTAGTGGCATCTAAACATTTTGAATTTCCCCTAACTTTTAGTCATGGTGGCACTGGTTACCAAGACAAATAAAGATGTTCAATCTCTCTAGTGGGGACAAAGACTGCTATTAAATCTTGACAGGGGTTTCAAACCTTCCCAACTACATCCAAACCTAGGAAAAAAGTTTTTACTTTAAACTTTAAAAAACTGGAGGGTATCCTTTTAAGTAGGATTGGTCAATATTAGAAAAAAAAGTTTGCCTACTTTCTCTATGGTGATTGATTATGCCACTGTCTATAGATAAATAAAAATCAATCACCATAGAGAAAGTAGGCGGGGCCACAGGAGTGGTTGCCTAAGCGAAAAATTCTTATGGGTGCAACATCATACCTCTCAACTGTCCCAGATGCCACATGACCCCAACGAGTCCCAGAAGCCAAAATAATGGGGGAATATGCCTCTGCATCTTATGGAGCGAATATGGAGCAGCCGGTATTCCCCGTCGCCGCTGCCGTGTTATAATACCAGGCCGGCCGCTCAGCTCTTCTGTGCAGCAGAACCTGCAGACCTCCAGCGGTGCTACCTGTTCCTCCGTCCAGCAGTGTGCTCACCATTTTTTCTCCCTGGCGCTGGCATCTTTATTGTGGGCACCCGGCTGTGACAGCTTGTGGCTTCATGGCCGGGTGCCCACTGCGCATGCACGAGAAACGCTACACTTTGTGAATGGTCCTGTAGTCTTCTGGGACCTGTCATGTGTCCCAGAAGACTACGGGGAGGAAGGGGGAAGGACAACTCTGTGGAAGTGGGAGTGGGTACCTGTCAAATTCAGACACCTGCTCCCCAAAGGTCCGCAGTCTTTGGTCATCTCCTGTACTATGTCCGCAGTCTCCGATCATCTCCTGTACTATGTCCGCAGTCTCTGGTCATCTGTACTATTTCCGCAGTCTCTGGTCATCTGTACTATGTCCGCAGTCTCTGGTTATTTCCTGTACTATGTCCGCAGTCTCTAGTCATCTCCTGTAGTATGTCCGCAGTCTCTGGTCATCCCCTGTGCTATGTCCGCAGTCTCTGTTCATCCCCTGTATTAGATCTGCAATCTCTGGTCATCTCCTGTACTATGTCCGCAGTCTCTGATCATCTCCTGTACTATGTCCGCTGTCTCTGGTCATCTCCTGTACTATGTCCGCAGTCTCTGGTCATCTCCTGTACTATGTCTGCAGTCTCTGGTCATCTCTTGTACTATGTCCGCAGTCTCTGGTCATCTCCTCTACTATGTCCGCAGTCTCTGGTCATCTCCTGAACTATGTCTCCAATCCATTGGTTCAGAATATTTTTTTTTCTTGTTTTCCTCCTCTAAAACCTAGGTGCGTCTTATGGAGCAAAAAATACGGTAAGTTCCTCCTCGGTTCAGATGTGTATCATGCATGTAGCGTCACCCCTGTAGGGGCCACTGGGAGATCATGGTCCCTAAAGGTTGCCCTGACCTTGAAAGCCTTCAGACACCTCTGACACTCCAGGTTCGGAATTACACTTGCAACGACACCAAATTTAGTAAAGCAATTGAGGTGTTTACTAGAAGTTGTCCAGTCGACAGACAAAGAGACAAAGACAAAAAAATAGTTCAAGAAATTACCTGTGGTAATCTGTTTAGACTTGAGGGTATAGGTCACAGATATGCAATTAAGGTAAATCAGGCAGCAATTATAAGCAGGATCCCTTTGACAATGTGAATGCGCACAAAACGCGTCATTGAGGAGCCTTGCCGCATTAACGTCACGCCGCAGAGGCCGCATGGAAGGCCGGCGGCCATTTTGACTATTCCTTAGAGTGAGTGCTGACAACCATCAGCTGTTAACTTATCTGTTAACTGCAAAACAGGTTTATCAAATATCAAATATCAGCAATATCAAATATGGCCTCACAAGCGGATATACTTGAAACCCAATGCAAAAGGAACAAGACCGGTATACAACCCTCAGAGGTAAAAGGACAAGAGGTGATTAGTAATAAATTTCAAGTTCATAAAAATAAATAAATAGTCCATATACTGTAATATAATGAATCCAATAGAAGGACTATACTGTAATATAATGAATCCAATTGAAGGACTACACTGTCACAGTGTCAGCAGTGTTTTCTGTTTTCACATGTGACCCTCAGATGATTTACTGATTTAAATTGTATGAAGCTCTATCTGTTCTCCATTTGATGAAGACTATATTTCCTTAAATGATAAGTTCACCTTTTAACAAAAAATAATAAATGCACATTTTTTGTACATAAAAAAAGTGCATTTATTATTTTTTGTTTCTGAAGGCTCTAAAGCATTGCACCAACGATCAGCAGATCACTGGTGCCATGCAGGTCTCCCTCTGACCTTTCACTGTATCTGCTTGTTTGTACATCCTTTGTGGGCAAGCAGATACTTACTAACAGGAAGGCTCAATGAACTGCCACGGCGCTGTAGAGTGCCATTGTAGTTCATTGAGAACTACAAGCCGACAGCCTCAAAGACTCTCGGAACTTGTAGTTTTCCCATTTACAGAATACGTTAAATGAGTGTACCCCTCACGGCCATGTTTTTTTTAAATTGTGAGAGCTAGTGAGGGGGAAGAAGATCCCCCGCTAGTTGTCACAACCGGGATGGATGTAAATATGGCTATAACATGTTACAAAAGGTGAACTTATACTTTAAGTCATTTTGGAATTGTTTTTACAATGTTAATTACCAAAATTGTATATTTTTCTAGGAAAGAGTAGGTCTGGCCCTTAGTAGACAGAACATGGTCCTTTGTGAATTTGCAGATTTATTCCACTCAGTTTGGCCCTCTGTTTATGTATGTAGAGTAACCCAACAAAGACAAGATCAAATACAAAAGAAACACAAACACAATGCAAGCAGCATTCAAACAAAATCTACTCAGAAATATTCAGGTACTCTGTCATACACACGTGCAAGCAATACAAATGGACAAGTGGTCATTCCCCCACTTCAGGATGACATAGCTAGAAATGTCTAGGCCAGAAAAAAAGCTATACTCCTGTAACGCAGATGTTCTTTTCATTGTATGCTGTACTCTCAGTCACAATAATGTCATGGAGGCAGTGGTCACAGACACAATTTTCTTAGCTATTGCATTGCATAGTTGTTGCCCCTCAGTTGCAAAGAAGATGCAAAGATTTATAATATTGCTTAGAAATTATTGGTTTGTGTATGCTACCCCCACACTGGTGGGATACTCAGAACAATTGCATCATTTCTCATTTTTAATGAGATTCACTGCAAGCTATGCATATATTTGCCTTTAATTTATACAGGCAAATGGGCATGGGTCTTCTCGACATAACTTCAGTTAGTTAACTAGATATTATAGATATTTATCTTGTTGTAAGTATTAGGGAAATTACCTCAAGGCAGTGTGATGACTAAATTAATAGATCATTATAGTTTCCTAAATAGCAAGTCAATTACTGTGAGCTTGACAATTCCAAAACAAAAGGCAGTTTTCTAGGGAAAGCTGCTATCTATCCATAATTGTCCAAAGTGACCCATCTTAGGTTACTTCTCTAATTCTTATGCAAGGTGTTATACTACCTCTCTCTATTCTAAGCAAAACTGCTAGGCAAATAGAAATGCTCTAGTCTGTCTACCTTCAAAGGCCAGATTAGATGTCCTAACAAGATATGTCCTTAGTGGGAGAGAGCTTGTTTGCTAAGATATATTGAGGCTTCCTATGGCCTTTGTTTCCATGTAGTTGAAATTAACAGTGCATTCAATTCAAAACACTTGAAAGCAGTCATCTGATGTTGTCTCTCACCTCTACTTATCACATTCTCTAGTTTCCTACAGTTCAGAATAATTGACCTCTATAATGGCTACCTACCCTTAGAATATATATGATTTTGAATGTATAATTTGGTGGGTGCCCTGCAAATCTGGCTGAATAAAATGTCCTGTTCTCAGTAGCACAAATCTGTTCAACAAACTTTTCCTCCATCTATCAATTTGGTCATCGACTCTGAAAGGGTTGGGCAGGCCAGGTCAATGCCATTTGGACATTTTGTGCAGGGGACCATACAGCCATTGAAGGACTGTGTACATATGTAAATGTTGCATTACCCAACTAATACATTTCTAGATACCTGAGAACCATAATATGCAGCTCACAGTAGAATAAATAGCGGCATTTATGTATTATTATGTATTATTTTAAAATTTAAAAACAAGTAACCATAATACAGACTTCAATGGAGTTCCTTTGGTAGGATTAATAAAAGGTCAATAAAAGTAAGATGCACCTCACTAGAAAATTATACTTCATTAAAAAATCAATATATATAAAGGGGAAAACCAACAACTACCTCTCATATAACTGTCCTAGACAAGAGATAATAAATATTAACATACAAAATATTCAATGTACACTTAGTCCAATTGGTGCACACATGACCTGAAAAAACATCATATGGTCCTGTGGCACCAAACCAGTGGTATATACCACTTTTGGTAAAAATGTTTTACTATAAACTGATATCCATTGTTAAGTCTCATTGACAGTGTTATTGGGACCACTGTAGGGCTTGCATTGGCAGATTACCACTATGTGATGACTATTGTCAATAACATATGGTGACTCCTATTAATGAGTGATGTAATCCAAAGGAGTAATGGAAATGAGAATATTGCTTCACATTCACTTCACTTCTTTATAGTGGTATTTACTAATTTAGTGTTCCTATTAACATGCCTATAGTGTTCCCATTAACATGCTTTTGATGAATGATGAATCATGGTTATCAATTTAGAGCAAAACATTTTTGTCAGTTATGATGTACGCTACATTTTAGCCCCTCAGGATTGTATGCTTTTTCTATTATGATTGTAGGTGTACCAATTTAGGTTAAGTGTACATTGGATGTTTTGTATTTTTATGTGTAACGAGACCAGGTTTATAGAAGGTTTTAACTATTTTCAGTGTGATTTTTGTGATAACTTTTACTTTTCATGTAAGATATTTTAATGCACTTTATTAAAATCACTGGAGGAACTCCATGGTAGTACATATGTACATGTAGTACATGGTAGTCCCTTCAATCTAAATTCCTATGTTAAATTGTTAGCCATGGATTCTACAGTTCTTTCAATAAGTATAACTTGGTCCTTGCTGTTGTTCCAATCACAATGCACAGTATATGTATTACTTTTGTCATTAAGGGCCCTCTGTTTCCTCTTGTACCAAATTGTATTGCAACTGTAATGTGTATCTTCATTTTGTAAAGCGCTGTGCAAACTGTTGGTGCTATAATAATATAATAATAATAATTAATGGCCATGCCCAAACACAACAAGTATGAGTGATCCAATCAGGTGGCATTTCTTCAACCCTGTCTAAACAGATAACCTGGTGAATAACTTTTAGCAAAGAGGTGTAAATGAGCATTCCCTGTTGATTATCTGCTGTTAAAAGCCCTTTAATTGTATTTGTAAATTGTTTCTTTAATCCTTAAACTAAATGTAACTGTAGCACCCTCTAGTGCAGGGGTGTCAAACTGGTGGCCCTCCAGCTGTTGCGAACTACACGTCCCATCATGCCTCTACCTTTGGGAGTAATGCTTGTAACTGTCAATCTTGCAATGCCTCATGGGACTTGTAGTTTGGCAACAGCTGGAGGTTGTAGGAAAAATCATTGTGAAAGACTCATGGTAGTTGTGTAAGTCATGTGATTAAGGTTGGGTTATTGCAGGTCAGCTGGATGACTCAACAGGTTGTGGCTCTATTGCCTCTTCCTGACTCTGGAGGACCGTAGAACCTTCCAGAAGTCGGTAAGAAGGAAGGGGAGGAGGCCTAATCTGCATATTCATGGGGGGTCTGGACAATTCCAGGTTTGGAGGCCCTGGTGGAGTGATGGATTGGCCTATAAATATTGGTGAGTCAGGCTGACAGGGGAGTCATTTGGAAGATGGAGTGCTGAGGACTCTGTCGGTGTCTAAGTGGGGCCCCCTAGGTTTGGGGGGGATGCCTTTAGGCTGAGCTCAGGTTGGCTCCAGAGGATACATTCTGTGGAGACGCATGGATGGGATCAAGGCTTGGATTAATAGGGAGCAAAGAGGACAGTGGGAGTACAGCAGTACACTTTGTGATCTACAAGGGGATAGACTGCCAAGCTTTCTAAGGACAGCACTGGGCTCAATCCTTTATCCTTGTCCCGAGAGATCTTCAGAGAAGCCAGGAGATCTGGTAGTGCTTGCAGGCTGTGGAGCTGGGAGCAGCAATGTAAGGGGGAGAGAGGA